TTGCGCGAGCAAGAGTGAGACCACTGTCTCGTTCTAAAAAAATAAGAAAGAAATTATTATCAATTAAAAATATATAAAAAAATTACTTGCATGCTGTCATATGCCTGTAGTCCCAAGCTACTCACAAGGCAATAGCAGGGGAGATTGGCTTGAGCATGGACTTTTGAGGTTGCTGTGAGCTAGGCTGATGCCACAGCACACTAGCCGGGCAACAGAATGAGACTCTGTCTCAAAAAAAAAAAAATAAATGTAGGAACAATACAATTTAAGAGCTTATTTTGATACCAAAGAATAGCCTCCTTGGAAAAAATAAAGAAAAAGATTTACTGGGAGTAAAAAGCAATTTATGCATTTTTGAAAACCACAAACAAAAGAGGGGTTAAAATCTCATGACTAGCGATTCAGGGGCAAGTATTGTATTGGGAAAATGTGGAAGCATAAATAAGAAACTTGTGATGAATTACAAAATAAAAAAATTATATTTTAGTATATGTAGTTGACTTGATTATGATTGGCTGAGGGTAAGTTTTATTTCTGTCTAACACAACTATTTTACCAGAATGGAACCCAGATTAAGTTCATTTATTCTTTGCAGTTTAGCAAGTCTAAGGTCTATTTTAATGCCTACCTTGGCTTTATGGAAAACGAGCCTAGGTTAGACCTTTTTATGAGGAAGTCACTTCTCTGCCAGATTTTACAGAATGACGTTCCTCTGAATCTTCAGGTTTGTACTTTACACCAAGTGGAAGCAATAATCTAGGGCCAAGAAATAAAACCAGAGAAAAGTAGAAGTATGCAAAAGGAGTAAAGAAAAAAAACACATGAACTCAACATATGAATAAACTTTTAATTAATAACTTTCAGAACTTGAGCAGCAAGAAATATAACTCAAGTCTACTGCATTGAGATGGGTGATGAAAGAGAACATGTTGCGTCGAGAAGGAGCCAAGGTAGACCTGGCTTCCCCTGTGCAAAACAGCCCTCCCTTGGTCAATTTGTTCTGAGTGTTTTTCTAGGCCTGCCTTTATGGATCACCGCCTTGTAGAAGAGGAGTTATACATCCAGTCCATTCTGCACCAGTATATATTTGATTTCATCATGCAGAGTCGAGGAATCCTACTAGCAAATCTTGTATCCTACACAGGATGCCTTAGATCGGTTACCAACAAAGCAACAGTAGTGCGTCCTGGGCATCTTAGTCGCCAATGATCAAACGAAAAGCCCATCGCGCAAGTGGGCCAATTCAGGAGGCTCAGACCTGCCTGGCTTTCCCAGCCCCACCCCACCAGGCTTACCCTATATTACAAGTCCAACTAAGGAGACCACCTTTCCCTGAACCCCAGGACCAATCTGAGATTCACAGAGCCACAGCGCAGAGACTGGTGTAATACTGAACCCTAGAGCTGGACAGGAGGAGCAGTGATGGGGCAGCAGCTGGGGGAGGGGTGAGGTGAACTGATTGCCCAAGGAGATCAGGGCACACTTTGGGACTGGAAGAGAAGGAAATTAAGAACCCGTGGCAGCAGAGGACCTGCAGACACTAAAGCATGTGTCATAACAGAGACAATGCAGCGCATTACCTCTCTTCTTTCCTCACAGGAAAACATGTTCCAAAGACGGCTCGATTTCCGACTTGTCTGCTTCTGCTGCTGGGCTCATGGAATGGTGGTACTGCCACGCCCCACCTCCTGTTAACCCGGGCTCAGTGTGTGAAAGCCAGCACATATAATAGACGCCACCCCAATGCAATAATGCAATGCGGTAGTTAAAGTTACACAGGACGATTGCAAGGCCAGATATTTCTTTCATACAACTTTCGCTGAATGTAGTTAAATGTTTGCTGGCACCCAAATATACCCTGCCTTTACAAGCAAAAGTACCAAATTTGTCATAGTATTTCAGTCCAGTGTCTTTAACCTATTGTAACCTCACCAAGTCCACGACTCCTGTGCAAACTGCAGATATGCACAGACATCAGCGTCAGCACGATGTTCTTACATTGTGATTGGATCAAAGATCTCCAGCAGGACCCTCCCATTCTACCAGTGGTTCCAGTTCACCTGAGATGGGACATTGCAGCTCCTGGATAGCCTCATTGCCAAAGCTCCACAGTCCAAGAGTCTCTATGTAGTCGTTTTTTGCCACTCTCTACCATTAGTCACGATCTGCTCTAGCAGCTTCTTCCCTTTCTCTAAGCTGAGATTTGTGGGAAATAGAGAGAGTATTGAGATAAGAGAACTCTGCAATATCATGAAGCAACAGGAGATTTATCCCTCTCCATGTTTAGGCCAAGAAGCTGAAGTCTCACCTGATCGGCCCAACTGACAAAGTACCTCTATTGACTACACCTTACTCAGCTCCTCTGAACCCTCTTCCAACAGGTCCGTAACTTGGGCTTCATTGCCATCACCATACAGTCCAGTTTAATGGGAATTCCTGCTAACTCAGCCTACTGTGAATCTCTCACACCTCTACAGTGCGACAAATCCCTCATCCCTGCCAGCGGCCCATGTGATATCTCATCAGCCTGGCCTGCCTTCAAACAAACAAAACCAAATCCAATGGAGTCAGTTTAGCAATGATCTTCACCAGCCTTGGATATCTCCCCGGTAGCTTTTCCTCCACCACCCCGCCCTCCACCACCAAACCTGTAACTTGTATGTAGATACCCCACTTGTCCTTACTGTTATTCCAGGAGTGAGCCCAGTTTGAGCACCAAGGTCTCATTTACCCTTATGGCACTGGTCCCTGACGTAAATCTGCTTTTGATGCTTTAACTATGACTAGCTCGGTTTCTTGACACTTATTCCATCCCAAGAGATAGAGGGGGCCCCAGCTGATAGTAGAAAAATAAATGTATTTGATTCTGTCTGATTTATGAATCATAAATGTTGATGATAGAATTGAACTTTAGAATACAAAATAGAAAATAAAGAAAGAGAAAATGAAAGAATGCTGTGATATAATGAAAGCAAAAGAAAAAAGAAAACATTTGTCTCACTGAGATATTTTAAAGAGTGCATCAATTTTCATTTATTAGTAATTACTACTACGGTTTAATTCCAGGTTTGACTCCAGATCTGCAATGCGGTCAACGTTGCTCAGGAAATATGGTCAGATTCTAGGACTGTCTGGAGAGAAGTCGGCACCTTTCCCCACCACATGCCATGTCCTGGGGAAGGGGCAGCCAGGCCACCTGTGGGAAGGGAGGGAGGAAGACATGCGAAGTGGGAGCTCTCACCACACCAGTCGTCTCCTGCCCACTCTGCCTCATAGTTGTCCCCATATGGTGTGTCATCCCATTCATCAAAACCTGTCAGGAAGGACACAGAACCAAGGATCAGGATCAGTAGATCCAGAGAGCAGAGATGATAATGAGAGCCCTGCCCTGCCCCCTGTTAGAGGGCTGCTCTCAGGAAATCCATGAGAATACAGAAGAGAAAGTCCCTTACAAGCTATGGACATGTGCAGCTTTCAAATGACCTTTCTGGTGACACAGTGGGTCTTGTTGGAGTGCCTCACTCAGATACAACCAGAGGTGCCATGTATCCAATACTCCTTTGTCTTCAACTCTGAGATCCGACCTCCACTTCTCTGCTCTCCTCCAGGTCCTCAGAAACAGCAATTCCATTCTCCCACCACTCCATAATCTCAGTAATTCCTGTCCGTCATGTAGGCACAGACAGCAGCTGCATTTGGAGCCTCTCTCTGGAGGAGCCATGGAGATTTTGCTCTCTCTGGGGCAGGCGGAGGGTGCTGTGGACTCAAGGTTTGCACTGGGAACTAGGTTTGGGGAAATTTCAGTGGCTGAAACAAGATCCGCTGACTTCTAGGTAAAACAGGAATGCATGCATGAACTCACTCTTCAACAGCCTCAGAGTAGGCAGGGGAGGGGGGCACTGCAAAGCTGGAGAGAGATGGAGTGAACCTTCATCTTTATTTCTGTCCTGTGAAGAAATGATGAGTGAACCTCATTGCCTGTGTCACCCAGGTCATGTGTCTCTTCCAGTCAGATGCCCATCTCTAAACACCCTAGAATAGAGAGTTGCCCA